GATTTAAAAACATCAATAAGTGTATTGTTTTTTTTTTGTTTATTTTAATTTTGAATTAAAATTGAATGATATTTTTTGTACTGAATCTTTTAAGTAAAATAATACTTCGTACAACAAAATCTATATACTATTTATTTTGTCTTTATCGTTCTCAATATTCCAATAAATTTATATTGCTATTTTAACTCTTTAAATCTTATTAAAGAAGAACCTAGAAATATTATAAGATTATAAAGATTCTATAAACACTTAAAAAGATTGAACATATCTAAAAACTATGTTTAATTATAAAACATATTTATTGAAATTTAACAAAAAATTAGTATTAAATAGGTCATTCATTATATTATATGAATATAAGCATAGTTAAAGAATTGATAAAAATATTTATTACTGTTTTTTTGAGATAAAGAAAGGAGTTATTGTAGATATAGTATGACGTAAATTGCAAATTATGACTTACAAAAAAAGAAGATTTTTGATTAGTTATTAAAATTAAACAAATAGTGTAATGAAGTTATTTGATGAAAGAAAATAAAAGTAAAAGTATTAACAGTCTAAATGGTATGTGTTAAAATAAGAATTACTTCTACCTACGTGTTTACTGCTGTAACAATAAAACTTATATATTTATAAATTGTCATTGATATAATCAAATAATTTTCTTAATATAATGATAATTAAACAATTATTCTGAATATATTACTTGTAAGGATTTGAAATAAAATAAATTTAAATAATTCATTTTTTTTTTATGATTTTTAAATCAACTTCTTTTGATGAGACATTCTAATAGAATAAGAATTGTTATTTTTAGATAAACAGAACAATTAAAATAAAGATAAGTTATTTTTAAATAACTACAACAGTTTTTTTATCCATTTATAAAATCAATGGGTGTTATTTTTATATTTAGAATACTCATCCCCTTTTCTTACAAAAAAAAATGAAATATAAATAATACTATTCACATATTATAAACATTAAAAAACTCAATTTAAATCAAATTATTCATAATTTATTGAATTAGGTAAATACTTTTGGGTTTTGTGAATCAATAAGTAAAATATTATTTTTAGCCTTTGTAAACTACTATTTCATTAAAATCTCATATGTGTTTATAGAATTATTCTATTTATATAATTGATTAGAATGATCTATTTCGTTTTATTAAATAATAACCTCAAAACGAAAAAGTTATAATAAAAAATTACTATTGAAAAACTAGTTTTATATTAAAGGAAAAGTCAAGATTTTCGATTTTCGTTTCAAAGAATTATTGACCTCATTGTCCACGTCATTCTTGATATTTAAATGATTCGTTATCTAAAAAACATATTACCATAATGCCTGCTATTTCATTTACACGGATAACACGTTCAACAGACACTTTACTTCCAAAATTAATTCAATTACTTCGAACTTCTTTTGGGGATAATCTCGTTAGAGGTACTTCTCAACTTAAACAAGTTATTGACACACAACCAAATCATTATTTTATTTCAGTAAACTATAATGGAAAAATTGTAGGAGTTGTTGTTTATTGGTATTTGATGAAACAGTTTCATTTTATAGAGCATATTGCAATCTCTCCAGAGTTCAGAGGTGAAAAGATAGGACAACAAGTAATTGAACATTTATTCAAAACAATTGGTGGTTTGTGGATTCTTGAAGTTGAACCAACTGAAGATGAAGTTCATCATCGGTTAAGAAAATGGTATTATCGCAATGGATTTTCAATTATAGATAAAAATTATAAACAACCATCATACTCATTTGGAGGACAATCAATCCCCCTATGGATTATGGCAACACAACCCCTTTCAAACAAGGTTTTGTCAACCTTTATTTCTGTACTCAAACATAATGTATATGAAGCTCATTATAGCTTGAACCGTTTCTAGTTTTATTTTATTTATAATATTTTTTAATTGAATTCTAAATTGAAGTATTCAATTGTTTTATAAAAATTTAATAAATGACTGAACTCTTTTGAAAAGACGTCTACAAAGCAGCGAGTTCTAATGCGTGTTGTTTAGCAGATTCTTTCATATTTTTTCTCATTTCTTTTTCAACCCTTTTTTGTCGTGCCTTTGCTTTGTTACACAAGATATCAGTAAAACAATCAACAAATCGACATGTCATTGTACAAACCATACAAACACTTACAACAACTAACACAGCAAAGATAATGAAAATAAACAATGATTTTGTAGGCATTAACAAATCAAGAAATGAGTTAAATGTAAATGTACCACTTTTTAATGTTCCTACCATACATTCTTTAGTTTCTCTATTACAATCATATTGACATTTCTTACAAACACATTCTTCTTTTGATTGAATTATAGAATATTCTGCGTTTAGTGTTATTGGTGATTCTATGTATATTTCATGCGTTGTTTTATATACTTTAATCTCTTCATAAATTCGTTCTGTATGGAAAATTTGTATTGTTTCATTACCTTTTAATTGAATAGGATATAAATGCTTTCCTTTATTAATGACAAACGGGTGTAGTTCAAATGCATGACAAACAACAAATAAAAGACTAACACAGATAAAACAATTCATTATACTTGTTATTGAGATGAGTCTTAAAACAAAATTCGTGTCAATTTCTCTTTAGTATATCATATAATTTATTTCCTATATTAAACTATACTTCAATAAAACAAAAATTAAAAATTAAATAATTACTTTTTTTGTTGTTTAAGTTTATTAAAAAGTATTTTAAATATTATGTTTATGTGATATATTTGTTAGTTATAATTTTCTTTCTATCATTTACTGTTGTACTAGTCCTTATTATATTATCATTCATTTAATTTCATGTAACATAAACATGTTATTTATTATTTATTATTTCCTTTTGTCTTATTTTGCGTATAGGTTTAAGCTGATATAAACATTTGTTGAAGAACAAGAAATGTTCAGAAAGTACAAAACTTATTATCTACTTCAAAGAACAAAATTGTTATGATAAAATTCTTTGGTACATAAATAAAAAGCACCCCATTTCACAATATTATTTGTGAAGAGAAAAATAACATTTTTCAATAAAGTGAGTGATGTTCCAATTACCTAAAAGGTAATTAGTTAAACAGGATGTATTTTATTATTTTCTTTATAAACACAAACAGTGTATTCGAATATAAACAGTCTATCACCCGATTCAATAAATTTTATGTGTGTTATTATTTTTTAATACAAATTAAAAAGAAATAGTTTTAAAATGAATAAGTAAGATTTATTTTGTTTAACTAGGTTAAATAAAAACAAAGAATAAATAAAATAATAACAAATAACTTATTAATTTGATGATGATACTCTGCATTATTAACACCACCAATTTATTGAAACATAAGATGACACATAACACTTAAAATATAACACAGTGTTGTTTTTTCTTTTTTTTATTTTGCAGAGATAATTCATAAATACCATTAAAAAGTTTAAGAACACCTTCTTTAGTTAATGCTGAAGTCTCAACAATTAACTTGCTATGAGTCCTTCTAAAAACATTATAACCATCTTCATCAGTTAATAACTCGTTGGGACTAATGGGTGGTACGTGGTTATTTGGGTTATCTCTTAAATCTTTTTTGGTACTAACAAGAATAATAGAAGCCCCAGGTGCAACTCTATAAATTTCTGGAATCCACACAGTTTCAGCTTTATGCAGAGACACGGGATCATCTATCCCATAACATACAATAATGAAGTCTGCACTATTATATAAAGTTTCTCTTAAGGCATCAGTTTGCTTATCCATACCAGAACAATCTGCAAAAGAAACACAAAATTCACACGAGCGATAAGTCATAGAAACTGCAGGTCCATCATAAAAACAAGGTACGATTTCTAATGAAAACGACTCATCGATATATGCAAGTATTAAGCTTGTCTTTCCACAACCAGGTTCTCCAACAACTACAATATTTAATTGGAGATTTGTTGGTGTGGGTAGTGCCATAAAATATGAGTTAAAAGATGTTTTTTTTCGGTTATTTTAAGAGATGATTCAAACGTAATTTTTCAATGATACTTTCCAAAAAAAAACAAAAGAAAGAATAAAAATTATGTTATTTTTTATAAAAATGTTCATAAAAATACATAATTTTTAGTTATTATTAGAAATTTTTATGATTGGTTATTTTTTGTCTATTTTTATGTTCAAAATTTTTTTTATTTTTCTTTTATCACTAATTTATTATTGATAAGTTTTTAAAAAACATAATTTATAATATATTTATCAAAAAAGAAACAACCTTTGGTAAAGTTGAAAAAAGAAACGTCATTTAAGTATCATAAATGAGGAATGTATCTGCTTAACTTTGTGCTTTAAAGAATAAAATTATATATAACAGCAGTCATGCATTTTTATAAAACTATTATAATTGAAACATCTATTGAAGTATAGAAGTTAGTTTTGATGATATTTATGATAAATATTAGAATATTATTATAATTTATTTATAGTTTATATTTTTTCAAAAAAAGTTTTTGTAGACGTTTATACTTGAAGACGGTTAAACTATTATTGAATATTTTTGGTTTGTTGTGTTAATTTCCTGTTATTTATTTTGTCATATGTCTTTTACTGAATTTACTATTCATTGTGTTACTGTTATATATCAGAGAGTTCATGACATATTAAAATTATCTTTAATTAATGATTGAGATGATTTTAAATCTATATTTTTTGCTATTTTCAATAATGATTTAAAATGATTTATATTTTTTTTTTCTTCATTAAATAGATAATATGTGTTTTCATTCTTTTTGTTGGTTTTTAGCATACTCTATTATTTTATCAATACTTCATTATAGAATTAATGTAGATATGATAAGTATTATATAATATTGATATGAATAAAATATAAATTAAAATTAATTAAAGATTATTATCTATAAGATCAGAGAACTTAACAAGAGTAATTAACACAATTTATAAATGTATAATCAAGTTATTATCTCGTCATAATTATATAATATACAAGACTAAATCACATTAATAATATTTTTATTGATTTGAATAATCTTTATTTTTTTCATTATAGTACATATGTAATGGTTGATATTCTTGAAGAAAGAAACATTAAAATTTTTACATTGATAACAAAAACAGGATAGATAAAAGAATCATCAACATATATAAAGTTCATCATTGTAGTTATTTTTTTGAATGACATTTATTTTATTTTTATTATTTTTTGATTTAGCCATTCATAAATTTATTTTCGTATTGATAAAAATTAAATTTAATATCATTTACATTACATATTAAATTCAAATTTATTGATATTTTCAATTAAATATATTATTTTATTTATAAATATAATTATTATTGCATATTTTATTATCTTATTTCTATTTTATTCATTTTACTTCTTATTTTTAATTGTTAAACATTTCTTCTTTATTTTCTATTTATCTTTATTATATTTTTATATTTCTAACTTCATTATTGATTTATTATTAATTTATATTCTAAGTATTATCTAACTTTTTCATTGTTAAATTATCATTTATTTATTTTTTATTCATTATCATTTATTTTCTCATTCTGATTTCTTTATTATTTAAATTATTTCATTATTTCATATAATACATATTATTTGAATGTAATGGAAACAATTTTTTATTTTTTATTCTTTGTTAATTATTTCCAATATCCAATTAAGTTCTTCAATCATTCATAAACTAATTTTTGTTCTTAAAAATTACATTAATTTAAATATTTATAATCAAATTCATGCATTCCTTTAATTAATACAATAACTTTATTAATATCAGTATTAGATTATGAGTCAAATGCATATAGAATCTTATTTAAAAGGAAAAAAACAAGAAAAATTAAAAAATTTATCATAATCTCCTTTTTCCTCAAATAATTTTATCAATTCTTTTTTTGTTCTTTTACTAAAAATAAATTAGATTTATTTTAATATGGTTCTATCACTGAAATGAAACAATTTATTTATTTTATTATTTTAAAATTAATAAAATGTACTCTATTGTACCACTTCTATTTATATTGAATGTGTTTTGACATAATTAATTTATTTTTTTTTATAAAATGAATAAAAATGGAAAAGTATTTTTATTTTTATCTTGAGAAAAGGAGATTTGAAAATACTATTAGAAGTGTATGATGAAACAAAACATATTTATCTATAAATGAAATTTTAATAAATCTAAAAGTGCAAGAGAAACAACAAACTTTTCTGTTTAAATAGAGTTATTTTAAATGAATAGTTTTTAATACTATAAGATATGGCATTTTTATTCTACTTTTTTAATGAAGAATTTTTCTATTGAATTTTCAAACAGATTATTTAAAGACATCTTCCAATTGATAAATCATTATAACCATGTTATTATTTGTATTATTTATAACAGCATATGCAATAACTTGCAATCAAGCTATTGACGCTGGTAATATAGATGAAAATTCTTACACAAATATTATTCAACTAGATTCAACAACAACTAATTCAACTTTTGGTTGTTCATCAAATAATATTTTCAAACAACCAGCTTATCAAATAAAATTTACAGCAACAAAGGCTGTATCTCTTACTACTTGTTTCAAAGAAACTACATTAAATTCTCGACTGATATTAACACGCTCTTGCCAAAGTGGAACTAATCTAGATTGTCCAAATGCAAAAGAGTTATCTAATCCAAGATGTTCTGGTCAACATAATGATCTTTTACTTGAACCAGAAGAAGGAGTTACATATTATCTTATTATTGCTGGAACTTCTGCACAAGAACAAGGTTCTGTAAAGATTTCAATTGAAAGTACTTCTACAATTGATAACAGTAAATGTTCTTTACCTCAACAAATAAATATCCCAACAACAATTCGTGGTGTTTTTGATGCTAATAATCATAATTATAATAGTTATCAAAAACGAAGAGGTTTCTGGTATAAATTTGTAGCAACAAAAGAATCTGTTTACATTAATGCTTGTAATAAGTTTACCACTATTGAGAGTGAAATCTTTTTATTTAATCAAAGTCAAATAAAAGAAGAAAATAATTGTCAAGACTCTTCATATTTTGCATTCGATAACCATGGATGTGGATTCCAAGCAAAATTAAGTTATCACAATTTAACTATTGGTGAAACTTATTTTATGTTTATTTGTTCTTGGAAAGATGGTAATGAATATGTTCAAAATGGAAATTATGAAGTTACTATTAGTGATACACCAGCAGCACAAACATGTGAAACATCATATTCAATAACAAATATTCCTGTTTCATTATCTTTTAAAGTTACAGGAATTGAAGTAAGTAATTCATTATGTGAAAATTCAGAAAAAGGAAGAGGAATTTATTTAAATGTACGTGGAGATGGAAAAAGATATGCTATGCACACATGTGCTAGTAATTCAGTATTTAGTTCAAGTGATAGAATTGATACATTTATTGAATTATTTAAAGGAGATTGTTCAAGTTGTGTCACTCAAGAAACAAATAATTGTGGAAATGATGGATTGTTGCTACTCTTGAAGATGGTGTTAATTATTTTATTAGAATTGCCCAAAGTAATGCCAAAATTACAGATTATACTGAAGTTCGATTTAAAATGATGGAAATGAAAGAAAAAGAAAATTATAAATGTTCAAATTCTACTGAAATTGATTTAAGACGTCTTGGTAATTTTTATTCACAAATTGTTGATGCTTCAGAAATACCAGAATCTGAATCTGGTTGTGATGAAACTTTAAGAAAAAAACAAGGGACATGGTATTCAATTAAAAGTATTGCTGGACATACAAAAGTAATTGCTGGTGTTATTCCAAACAATCCAAATGAATATGCAGGACTTTTAGAAATTAGAAATAGTTGTAGTGTTAGTGATGTTTGTGAACAACATTCAGGTATAGCTTCATTTGTTATGAAAAAAGAAGATAGTCTTTTAAAATTATTTGCTACAGCTCAAAGAACTGGAGGACAAGGAGAACCTTATGGAGTTTTTATGTTTTTTGCCGCTTATATTGACATGGAACAAGGAACTTCTATCGAGAATGCAATTGAAATTACACTTCCATTTACTGAAGTGAGAGTATTAGGATTACATAAAATTCCATCATTATGTTATGGTTTAGATAATGTTGCTGGTGTTTATTACAAATTTAAAGGACAACCATTTGTTGAATACACCTTAAATTCTTGTGGAGATGAAACAACTCAATTAACAACTGTTGAAATGGATGGTCATCCTACATCTTGGAATGGTTGTTACGAAGTTAGTCAAACTGTTGCATGTGGAATGGGAGGAACTCAAGTTAAAGTTTTATTGAATACAAGATATAAAGATGATACTGCTATTGCATCAATGTGGATTCCACCATCAACTGGAAATAAGGGAATTGCTCGTTTTAATATTTTTGAGAGTCAAAGTAGTGCCCCAAATGAACGATGTGATAAAGCTGAAGAAATAAAATTACCAGCAACTCGTTATTTCTATAATGAAATTAATTCTAAATCAAGATCTACTTGTACCAACCCAGCTGTTGATGGTTTATTAGGTAATTGGTTTGTTATTACTGCCCCAGAAAACAAAACATTACTTGTTTTTACTGATGATGTTTCTGCAATGAAAACTCGTATAGAAATCTATGAATCATGTAAGATGGTTACATCTGATTCTGTTGGACAAAACTGTTTATCTTCTGAAACTGTGGAGTCAAACCCAAGAGGTGTAAGAGGAACAACAGTTATTTATCCAATGAAAAAAGGAGAAACTGTTTATATCTTTGTTGGAGGTATGTCTTCTTCTGATGTTGGAGTTGGAAGAGTAGATTTTGAATTTATAGAAGATTATAGTCCAAATGATAGTACAAATGATACAAGTGAAGAGGATAATGGATTAAGTGGTGGAGCAATTTTTGGCATTTTGATTGCTGTAATTATTCTCTTGGTTATCTTGATAATTACTATTGGATTAATTATTTTCTTAATCATCAAAAAGAAGAAAACATCAACACAATCAAGTTATGGTGGAATTTAAATTAATTTAATGGTAAAATTCATTTAATTTGTTTCTTTTTCAATAAATAAAATAAACTATCATTACGTTCTTCTATTTTGGACTTTATTTAGTTTTACTCGTTTGTTAATCTATTCACTATCACTAATTCACCTGTGATTAATAATAAATCGGGTTTGACAATCTTTAAAGTAATTTTAGCTGTAACATTTCTTGATGATATTTTATTAAATATTCCTTTTATTCTACATTTTTCATTTTGAATTAAAACAAATAAAGAGTGAATAAAAAGAATAAGAAATTAAACAAAAAGAAAATAATACATAGAAATTAAGCAAAATGATTATTTATATTAAGAGTTAATTTTATATTAAGTTGTTACTTTAACAACAATAACACAATAAAAAGATTAAATTCAGAAATAGAAAAAATAATAGAGTTAAAATAATTTATTTAAAAATAATGTATTAAAGTAATACTGTTAATTGTAGATATTCATTTGTTTAATAGAAATATATATTTTTTTTAATTAACTACTTTTTTATAAAAGGAAGTAGTTTTTCATATATTACTTAAAAATTAATTTTCTTATATAATAAATAAATAAACAATGAAGAATATGTTAATAAAATAATGCAACATCATCCAAAAGAATTTCTCCTGTAAAATATAAAGTGAAACTTGTAATAATTTGATTTGGTAATGGAAAGGAGAAATAATATGTTTGAACAAAAAACATTTCACAAATCTCTCCATTATTTTCGATTTCAGATATTTTAGTATATGTGAAAGATGGTAAAGTAAATGTTGAATTAGATAGAGATGTTACTTTAATTGATTGGTTGTATATTTTAGAAGGGTCTTGTTCTTCTTTATTAATTATTCCATTATTTTTAAAAAATGAAAATTTAATTCCACTGCAATTTGTTGGTTTATTCATAACAAATTTTAATGCACATTTCATTCCTGAATCACAAACATGTAATTGATGTAATGATTGATACATATTTTGATATAACTTACCATTATATGTTGCATTACTTTCTATTGAAATATCAAACATAGTTCCATTTACATAAAGAAGTATTTCTTTATTTGATTCAAAAGTACTATAATATCCACTTTCAATTGGAATAATTGATTTTCCATTCTTAAAATCCATAAGTAAAGGCAAATTATCACATTTATTATCCATACTACATAAAAAATGACTTGTAACATAATTATTAACTAAACAACGAAGTTCAGTTTCTTTTAATAAATAAGAATTATTTTTAATAATATAATCAACCAATATATCACTTTGTGCTTGTTGATATTTCATATTAAAATAATCTCCAATACCTTTTTCAATGATTAAACTACCACTATATTTAAATAAAATATTATCATCTCTATCTGTTTTATTAAAATAATTATATGAAGACAATAAAGGAGGGTCATATGGTGATAATTCAGGTAATGTTTCTATAAAATATGAATTCATTCCAACCATAGGATTTTGAACTGGAATATCTTTACAATTTAATACAAAAATACTTTCAATATTAAATTGATTTAAATTCTCTTTTTCAATAAAATCAATATTACCAATTCTTAATGTATTAAGAATTCTCATAGCAACTCCTCCACCTTCTCTATCACCAATAATTCCAATACTTTCAAAATTTAATTTTTGTCCAAAGAATTGATTTAATCGTTTAAATAAATAATTAATTGTTTGAATAGTTAAAACAACACGTGCATTTAAATATCCTTCTTTAACACTCATTCCATTCTTTGGTATAATTGAATTTCCATTTACATCTTTATCAAGAAATCCTTGATCAAGACAAATACTAACAATTCCATTCTCAGCTAAACTTTCTTGAAGATAAACATATCCCATATCTGAATCAATTAAATTCCCCATTTCACTTCCAAGAATTATAACAACACTTTTTGTTTCATTAGAAGTTTTAATATTTGTTGGATAATAAACAATACCATTTATTGGAATAGCAGAACTAGTCATTCTATAATAATCTTGTGTTGTTGAACTTACATCAAATAATGATGACATATTAATTGTTGGTGTTTTAATTGAAGGTTGGGCATATTCTTGTCTTAAATAACTTGAATCTCCAATACCAAAAGTCAATTGGGAAATATGTTTTTCAAATTCACAGTAACTAATAACTTCATTAACATAACTAGTATTTACAGTATCAAAAGTACTTAAAAAAGAAGGGTTGTGTTGATATTTTAATTTATAAAACATATTATGTAATGATAAATTAAAAGAAATTATAATAGTTATAATACAAAAGATTAATACTGATAAGGATACAATATGATTCTTTAATTTTTTTAATTCTGAAAAAATAAATGAAGTAAGAGATGCTTTTTGATGTATAAAAATATAAATATACCATCCTATTTCAATAGTACAAAATATTATTATTGTAATTATTAAACTTCCCATTGTAAGAAACCAAATACATGCAATAGATTTATGTTGAAGAGCTACAACTGAATTACAAAAAGGAATTGTTATAATTGATAATAATAATATTGAAATTATTACTTCTTCTTTAAAACTACCTTTTACACAACCATAACTAACTTGAAGAATAAAGAAGATAACTACTAAAATAACTTTCCAAAGAAAGAATAACGCTAATGAAATATTAATAATACAAACAATTGAATAAACTAAAACTTGAGTATAAACTATATTGAATGATACAATAGCCTGTTGATAAAGAAACATTTCAATAACTACTATTATAAATCCACAAATAATTAACATTAATGAAAAAGCTTTAATATACCCTTCATATTTATCACAAAATAATCTAAATAAATGATTTAATTGACTAAGTGGTGAACAATTTTCTTTATTATGGGTATCTAATTTAATACAATATTTTTTAACAATTTTTTCAATGTTTGGAAGTTTAAATATTATTGAACTATTATCATAATTAATATACATAATATCACATATCCTTTTTATGACCTTATTTGCTTTTAAACATGACTGAACAAAAGAAAGTCTTAATACAAATTTAATTCCACTATACCCAAGAAAAACTATTCCTTCTATTATCCCAATTACTAACACCCATAGATATCCTTTTAATTCTTTATGTAATAATCCAATACAAAATGTATTACTAATAAGACATATCCCAGCAAGAATAGTAACAGACAATTGTTTGTACCATCCTCGGTGTGACTCTTCTGGTTGTTCTTCTTGAAAAAACAAAACTTCATTTTTTTCGTTTGTTGTAATCTCCTCACTCATCAACAATTCTGAGTTTTCAATTCAAGTTTTTCTTTCTTTGAACCTTCAAACAATTCTTAACTTCTATTTTTATTTCTTGTAATAAAGTTATCAATCACAAAAATTAACAAATTTTGATATTTCATTTATTGATTTAATGATATTCTGTACCACTCCTTTCTTAACCATAATCATTTTATACTTAACTTTACCTACAAAAGATATTTAAAAGAATTTAAGAACTCAACAAAAGAGAAACATTGCATTGTCGATATTTCACAAATTAAAGCACTATCAATAAACTTTTATATAAAAACAATTCTATAACTTTATAAAGAATGAATTAATTATAAAAGAATGAACTAATAAACTTTCTCTCTTCACTTAAAAAGTAAAATCTCTACCAACAATATATCATAAAAGAAAAATAAATAAAAGAAATAATAAATGAACTAATATTTATCCTAACTTTATTATCATCCATTGAAATTAGCATTAGTAGCATTATCATCTTTAGCTGTGAATTGTGGGTTATTCACAGTATTATCAATAGTATTCTTTCTTGCAGAAATAACAATATCAACGGTTTGTTTAATTCCAATAGCAATAATTATCATAACAACAACAATTACTGCAACAACAACCGCAACAGTAGTACCAGCAGCAATAGCAGCAGTATTATCAACATCTTGCCATAACAAACAAACAGCTTCTTTATCAACTAATTCATCATTGATTTTACAATTACCACATGCATCCAATGAGAACCTATGATCTGGATAATCAGAATACATTGTTAAAATCCATCCACTCTCAGACTGTAATGAACATTCACAATAGAAACAATTCTTAGCTGCTTTAGACATATTAGGGAATTGAATATCAATATCACATTGAACAAAATTAGTTTCAATTTCTCCTGTTTCTTTGTCACAATAAGCATCTTGACATTTATTCTTATAGAGTAATGCTTTTGCATGTCCATCAATATTACTTGTCCATTTATGTGTCATCACTCCATTTGTAATAGTTTCAACACATGTATAATTATAACATTTATCACTACAATCTCTATCTTTAGATGGGTCATCATTACATTCTGTAAATGGTTTCTTAATACAATACCCTGTATTTGTATCACATTTACCTGTTAAAGAAGCACAACCAACATCAGCAATATTTGATGTACAAATAGAATCATCATATATACTACTACATTTTGGAACACTTCCAGAAGCATCACAATTAGTTTTCATACAAACTACTTCTCCAGGTTGTTCAAGAGGAAGTGATGGACAAATAGAGACATTAGTTGCTTCACAAAGTTGGGATGTTCCAGTCTTTATTTGAATAAAACATTCATTACTTGGATTACACGGTCCATCATATTTACAATCTCCATCTGAACAAGTCATTTGATAATGATTTCCAGATGCATCTACTTGTTCTGGACATTTATCAACAAGGGTAGATTCTTTATCCATTCCACTACAATATTTACATAAACTTTTTACCTTTTCTGAGTTTGAATTCCATTCACATTTATATTCATCAAATGTTGCACCACTAATTAGTTTGTAATCAAGAACATCAAGACATTTAGTAGGGAAATTCTCATGTTTAGTACAATCAAATTCATCATCAATATGACAACTTCCATCACGACATACATATGGAATACCATTTATATTCTTTTTATTAGTGCAGTCCATTTTAATAAGTTTGGCTGGATCAATGAGAATATTATCATATAAACAATACATACATTGACTATCTAAAATAATTTTTGATCCTTCTTTTACAACAACTTTACATTCTCCATTTGCATATTCCCATTCATAATACTCTTCACAATCATTTAATCTATCTTTGAAAAGATTTTTACAATCATAGTTATCTGGTGGTTGGCATTCTCCATCTTTACAAACAAATGGAATTCCTTGTGATGTAGTTAAACCTTCACATTTATTGACAAGATCTTCTCCATCACAAATTTTACATTCTTGAATTGCTTTATCAGTAGTTACAAGAGCACATTCTCTATTTCCAGTACATGTATAATTAGCATATCCAAGACATTTTTCAGGTACTTCTTCTTTACATACATACTCTTCTTGAACTACAACATACTGAATTGTTCCATTAATAATTCTTTCATCACATTTATTTTTATAACAACCTTCCCAAACAATATCATGTCCTTTAAGTTCTTTACAGTTATCAACATTAATACATTTTGGGTCACCATCTGTATAATCACAAACTTCTCCATTAGTACATCCATTACTAGTATCACATTTACATTGATATGATGTAGATGCATCACATCTACAATTTCCATTAACCTTACCACATACTTTCATTCCAGAACTACATCCAACTAAATTCATAACACAGTTTCCAGTGTCAATATCACAAGTAGCTTCATAGCATGGATTTTCTTCATATGGAGATACTTTAATACATTTTTTTTCTTGAACCATACAAGTTCCAGCAGAACAATAATGTTCTTCACATTTACTTGATAACTTAGGGCAATAGCTAGATGGTTGTAAGGTATTTGGAATACATTCTCCACTTGATCTATCACATGAATAAGTTCTACAAACAAGTTTTTCTATTCCAGATTCAGTAATAGAAGTTGGCTTAATATCATCAGTACAATTACTTCTAAATGCACAGTTATTTCCTGAACAATAAGGTTCTAAACATTTAACTGTTGAAACACATTTATTTTGTTCAATAGTACATCCAATATCTTCAACACATTTAGCTGTACCTAAACAACTTTCTGTTGTACATTTTCTTTTTTCAATTTTATGTTCAGCACTTGGATAATAAACACATTCTCCATTTTCAGTATTACATGTAGTATAATAACATTCATTATGACAACACATTGGACATGTACAACGAGCTCCACCATCACAAAATCCTTTACAAGTTTTTCTATCACATAATTCGGTATTATTTGCCATAATAGTATTATATAATTGTGGAAGAAGAGTACTTAATGATGAAACAGAAGATTTAAAGTAATGTTCACCTTTATTAACTAATTCTTGAAGTAAATATTCTTCTTCAATTGATGAATCTAAATTAAATACATAAAATGTAGTATTATGACTATAAAGAGTTTCTAATGTACTAGAAGCTTTTCCTGCATATTTACTAATATAAATAATATTCTTTCCTGCTTTTGAAGACATTTGGTTATATACAGTTTCTATTCCTTTTGTTTCATTTCCTTTTCTCATAACAGTAATTTCATTTAATGCACTTTTAATATTATTCTTTGTTATTAATGAATTTGAATAAGATGGATTTTGAGAGTTAACATAATAAGCAAATGAAGTATCATTTGGGAATAAGTCAATCAAATAAGAAATAATTGCATTAAATATATTTCTTAATGTATTAGTCATATCCAAATTAACAACAATACCAACTGCCATATCCTTTGTAGGTGGTAAAATAGTAGAAGCACGACATTTAGTAATGTTATTATTTTTATAGTCAGTGATAAAATTATCAGAAAATTCTGAACTACTTCTAAATGTAATAACTTTACCTCCAATATATTCAAATCTACATGGTGACATTCCTTCTGCATATTTGTTTGTAACGTCATATATTTTTTCTAGAAAATATGCAGCTGTTAATGGTGGTTTAGCAGCATATTTATAACAAGTTAATCCATTAATTGAAACAACTGGTAATTTAGAAGTATCAGATGGAATAAGAGACCAATCTAATTGATATTCTCTAACAGGATATCCCATTTTCTTTCTACACATGTTTTCAACTTTTGTATCACTTTTATCACGGTCATAATCTTGATTAAATATCATTTCAGTAAAATATTTACTTTGATCATTGTTAGGAAAATTACTATCAATTGATGTCCACTCTAAATTTCTCCATGGTTGCATTGTTAAATAATAAAATACACTATACTTTTTATTTACACTTCTTGACCATGAAGCTGCATTTTTCCCCATTCCCATTCTTCCTTTATCTTGAATATCTACTGTTCCAGAAAACTCATTTAAATTAATTCCTAATGTACTTGAAGCATAAAGTAATATTAAAATTATCATTTCACTTTCTTTATTTTAAAATTCTAAGTTCACTTCATTTGATTTTTTCTTTTTTCCTTCCTTTTGTGTTTTTTGAAAAGGTCAGCTTTCTTCTGAATTTTCTTTTATTCCCTTTTTTCTATTTTCTTTCATTTCTTTTCTATTCTTTTTCTTTAACTCATTTCATCTCTGACTTTTCTTGAGGTTACTATTTTTATCTTTTCCTTAATTCTCATCAAATTCTATTATTATTTTATAAGATATTTATCTTTATTAAGTAAAAAATAGTTCTAACTTTTCCTAAAAAATTAAGTTTCGTTTCAATGAATATTCTTAAATTGAAATGGAATTTTATGTATTTTTACAAAAATGATATGAAAAACATTTTATATAAAAAATGAAAAATAAAAAACTAAAAAAAAATTATTTAGAAATAAAGGAAAAAAGAAATGACAAAAGAAATGTTATATTGTTCAATCCCAATAATTGTCAATGAACATAACTTTCAGTTACTTCTAAGTAGTTATGACAAAAATTATATTTACAGTAGTTCGCTTATTCAAACAAATCAAAAATGTTTATTACATGACTTTATTCCAAAACAAAATAGGTTTATTATTCGTTATTATAAAGAAAAAGAATTTCCAATTACATTATTAATGAAGTTAAGTTCATTTTCTTTTGGTTCATTTAATGGATACTTTAAACGAAAATGGTTTGAAACAAATAAACTTAAATGGTATAAATATAATCAATTAGCTTATATTACTCCTCATTTTATTTCAATACCTTTATGTAATCCATCTTTCTCTCTTTCTCAAATGAAATGTCCTTTTTCTATTTCTTTTCTTGTTTCTAATCAATTGGCGTGTGTTGCTTCAAATATTCATTTTATTTTAATGGAAAATATGGAAGTGATTGAAGAAAAGACAATTAAATATGATTTAAATTCATTTTATTGTAATTTTATTACTTCTTTCAATCAACTTCATCATCAAAGTTATCTTAGAGTTGTTATTGATTTACTAAATGATACAGAAACATATATAGACAGTGGCTGTTATCTTTTTGATGAACAAGGATATCTTCTAAAAGAAAAATTAATTGGTTTTACTAAAAGAGAAATTAATTCAAACAAAGAAATGAAAGATGAAATGTCTTTACTCAGTTTTATTCCTAAAACAAACAATAAAAATGATTATAAAGATAAAGAAAATTGGTTTCAATTCAAAATGACACTTCGTATTGTTGACTATAATTTATCTTATTGTAACGAAACAAAAGTTTTTAATAAAAATGGAATGATTTATGAAAATGGTTATTTACATTCATTTAACTCATTTACTTCAATAAAAAATGTTAAAACTCTTCAAACAATATTTCTTCATCAAACTTCAGATATTAATGAATCACAAATTTATTTCCAAACAGAAAATAATATAATTTCATTAGATAGTGTTTTAAATTCAACTTTATTTGGTAACTTAAAAGAAATTAATAAAGAATTTATTGATACATTAAAATCTATTCAAATTGACACCCCAATTGATTATACTTTTATAATTGAAGTAGTAAAAAGAAGATTTTGGTTATTAGAAATTGAAGATCTTGAGTTATGTAGAAATGTATTATTATGTATTAGAATATATTGTGATTATGGAGAAAATATGTTAAGTAATTGTTATGAATGGTTATACGATAGAGTTATTTCTTCTCAAATGCATTTAACTTTATTAGACCTTTTACTTTTTTCTACTTCTGGTTTTATTGACTTTTCTATTTCATTATTTCATTATTTAAAAGAACAAGAAATCTTATCAAATCTTTCCTTATTAGTACTTTTCTTAATTTCATTACAAGAAAAAAGTATACAACTTTTACCAAATTTATTAACTTTATTTTCTAAACCACAACATTATATTTATTTCTATAAAATGTTATGGTTACTGTTAGAAAAATTTGACCATAAAATTGCTTTTATGGATGAATGGTTTTTTGCTTTTACAAAACAATATCATATGTGTTATCCTGATAAAATTATTCCTTCAATACAAGGCGTAATTGATTTAATTTCATTAATCTTAAATAGTAAAGAAAAAGATAATCATATTGTTACTTATCCTCTTCTTCAACCTTTCTCATCAATTCCTATTTCTTCTATTCAATCAAAAATCATTAACACATCATTAGAACATCCAATTATTATCATATTTCTTCATATTGATAATTCAAAATCAATGTTATTATTTAAATTTAATAAAACTACTATTGAATCAAATCTAATGATATTCATGAAAACTATTTCTCAATTATGTTCTTCATCATATCAAACTTATCAAATTTATAACATTTCATCAGGTAAATTTGTTGAATTTATTCCTGATTGTATTCCATATTCATATTGTAGAAAAGTAATTCCACAAATGATTCAAATTCCTTTTTTACTTCAATTAGATACTTCAATTTTATTGAGTAATGAATTATTACAATCATTTCAAAATTATTATGAGAATTATTGTCCTTCTTTAAATTCAATTCTTCAACCACAATATGTAAGAAAAAAAAATTTCATTGAATCATGTGCATTAGTGCAAATATTTTGGTCTTTATGTTTACTTCTTGATCGTCACTTTAAAAATGTATTATTTAATCCATTAACTGGAAACATTTTTCATATCGACCTTACTTTTGCCAGAAGTTCTACATCACAATTTATATCTCCAATTCAATACTTTATTTCTGAAGGTTTTGAACGACCACTTCAAATACTAAATTGGTTTAGTACAATGAAAGAAATATCAAAACAATATGTCCATATTATCTTTCAAAATAAAATAAAACTTTGTTCATTATTGACATGTTTTAGACGTTCAAGTGCATTACAAATAGATACTATGATTGAAATTTTATATTTACCAACTGCTGAAAAATTAATAAATGAAAATAAACGTTTAAATATGTTACAAAAGGCATCAAAAAAAGTGCTTAAAAAATATAGTATTTCTACTTCTTATAAATAAACTCCCATTTATTCAATTATTTCTTAATATGAATAATTAATGGAACATGACTAAGACAATTAATATTACAATTTTAAATATAAAATATTTATCTATTTAAATTAACAAACTCTGATGCAGAAATCTCTTTTCTTCTGTATATTTGTGTAACAGAATCAACTAAATCTTTTGATATAAAGAAATAATCTAATCTCCATCCTGCACTTTTAGACTTATCTTTATATGAAAAGAAAGTATAAAAATCTCTTTTCTTTGGATATTTTACTTGGAATGTATCAACCAAATTTAATTCTTTTAATGTTTCACTAGTACTAGCTCGTTCTTCTTTAGTAAACCCAGCACATCTTAATCTTGTCATTGGCTTAGCAACATCAATCCAACGTAAAGCAACATTAAGATCTCCACACCAAATAACATTTTTCTTCTTTTGTAATTCTTTTAAATGTTCTCTCATATCTTTATCCCATTCAGTTGTCCTTTTAACAAGATTTTCAAGATGTTGACCACTATTCATGACATATGAATTAACCAAATAAAATTTTTCATATTCAACTGTAATAATTCTACCATGTTCATTCTCTTTTCCATTAAATTTTTTGGTTATACTTATTGG